GGCACGGTGACGTAAGCGGTTAAGTCCATGCGCTAGGCTGCGGCGGCCCGGGGTTCGCCGGTTCAGATCCCGAGCGCGCACCGACGTACCGCTTGGCAAGCCATGCTGTGGCGGTGTCCCATATAAAGTGGAGGAAGATGGGCATGGATGTTAGCCCAGGGCCAGTCTTCCTCAGCAAAAAAAAAGGAGGATTGACAGATGTTAGCTCAGGGCTGATCTTCCTCACCAAAAAAAAAAAGTAATTGATGCCCAAATATTTATACGTATTTTATTTTTTTACAACTTGCTCAAAAACATAGTACATGACAGTAAGACTTTTAAAATTGTTTCTTCCTTTAGGGAGATGCTGTTGCTGATCCCGATAGGTTGTCTGATCTGAGTGGTTTTTACTAGAAATGATTTCATGCAGATTCTATCTATGCAGTAACCAAATACTATCTATAACTAAAGTAAACATCTGGAAGCTATCTCTCCTCTCAACTCCCACCATGTGTTAATCTTATATTACTAACGGGTTTGTATTACAATTATTATGAAGCCATAACAATTTATTAATGTGCACATTACCACACAGTACTGGTATGTAGTAGGGGCTTAGTAAATGCATAGTGAATTAATGAATGTCATCAAGCTTAGAGCTGTAGTCTTTTGCCAAAAAACTGAGTGGTGCTAAACTGATGGGTGGAGAGATCAGAATCTTGCTCTTAGTTTTATTAGCGTTTTTCTCAACTTCAAGCTAATCATCTTGTTATGGCATTATACTTTGATGGCTGCAGAAACTGAAGAACAAATAAAACGTGTAGTTTAAGCACAATGTCTTTGCAAAGCAGTTATTGCTGTGCTCAGTTAAAATGACTTTGGGGGGCCAGCCCCGTGGTGTAGTGGTTAAGTTCAGCGCACTCCACTTTGGCTTCATGGGTTCGGATCCAGGGCGTGGACCTACACCACTCCTCAGCCATGCTGGGGCAGCGACCCACATGCAAAATAGAGGATTGGCACGGATGTTAGCTCAGGGTGAATCTTCCTCACCAAAAAAAAAAATGACTTTGGGTGTCAAAATTTTTTCCTATGAAATGACTTTCAGAAAGTCTTTACAGAATTGAAATCTTATCATTTCAATGATGGAACAGTGTACAAAAAAGTTTAGAAAATATATTTTTGGATACAGAAGTAAAAATTTGCCATTGGAAATTACCGAAAAAAAAGAAGAAATAATAATTCTGGAAATATGCTTCATAATCTTCTTCCAAATAGATCTACACTAGACATGGGTAGTTTTTATGGGTGTACCCTAGAGGTGAAAGTGTTTCAAGCCGCAAGCATTCAGCTTCTCTCTCATCTGTGCTGGGCACTGGGGCTGGGAAGGTGAATGGGCCCAAGGAACTCTCGGGTATAGAGGGACATTTCTAGACTTTTTCCAGATAACTTATCACAGATTATGGAATTCTTTTTATTTATTTTTACGGATGTTTAAATATTTAAAAACATGTGTAAGTTGTTGAGGAATCAGCCAGGTTTGTTACTCTCCCAGGTCGATGTGGCGCCTTCTTTATTGAGTGTTGCTGTTTTCAGGATGCGGGCTGGTGCTGGGCAGAGGCAGGGAACCGTGTACGTCAGTGCTGAAGATGAGTGCGGGTCTGTTAGAATGGTTAGGAAAGACAAGAACGCTGACCTATCATTAAGGATAAAACCAAAAGCAAAGCAGAGAAAGAAGAGAGGGAGATTAGGGTTTGTTCTTGAAACATCCTCAGATATTTGTCAAATGCTGGTTACATAGTAGTAGGCAGTGATCTGCCACTCTGCTGGGTGAGACAGAAAAAAATCCGTCCCAATGGAGCTTACCTTCCTGTGAACCTACTCAGGTGTCCTTGTTATTCTGAAGCTAAAGGGCTAAAACTGAGTAAAATAAAACTTTTGTGGAAATATTTTTTAATGTGACTTTTCTTTAATTTATTTATTTTTTTTAGAAAATGGCTCCAAAAGGTAAATGAAGCTGGAAAAATACATAGATGCAGCATTGCAGCCTCTCCAGATGTTTGAGGATAATACTCCAGAGAGAAATTGATCCCCTTGGATTAGGTAACTAGTCATAATGAAGAAAATTAGTCTTAAAACCTTCCGGAAGTCTTTCAACTTGAATAAAAGTAAAGAAGAAACGGATTTCATGGTAGTACAACAACCATCACTAGCCAGTGATTTTGGAAAAGATGATTCCTTATTTGGTAGCTGCTATGGTAAAGATATGGCCAGCTGTGATATCAACAGTGAAGATGAAAAAGGTGGAAAAAATAGATCCAAAAGTGAAAGCCTCATGGGTACGTTGAAAAGACGGCTCTCTGCGAAACAGAAGCAGAAAGGCAAGGGCAGCACACCCTCTGGGAGCTCTGCCGATGAGGACACCTTCTCCTCCTCCTCAGCACCCATCGTCTTTAAAGATGTGAGAGCTCAAAGGCCAATGAGGTCCACTTCCCTCCGCAATCATCACTACAGCCCTACGCCGTGGCCTCTTCGACCTACCACCTCGGAGGAGACGTGTATCAAAATGGAGGTGAGAGTCAAAGCCTTGGTTCACTCTTCCAGTCCAAGCCCAGCACTGAATGGTGTTCGGAAGGATTTTCACGACCTTCAGTCTGAAACTGTGTGCCAAGAACAAAGTAACCCCCTGAAGAGTTCGGAATCTCAGAATGGAGACTTGCATCTTCACCTTGATGAACATGTGCCTGTAGTTATTGGACTTATGCCTCAGGACTACATTCAGTATACTGTGCCTTTAGATGAGGGGATGTACCCTTTGGAAGGATCGCGTAGCTATTGTCTGGACAGTTCTTCTCCCATGGAAGTCTCTGCAGTCCCTCCTCAAGTGGGAGGGAGCTCCTTCTCTGAGGACGAGAATCAGGTAGACCAGGACCTAGTCGTGGCCCAGGAGATCTTTGTGGATCAGTCAGTGAATGGCTTGTTGATCGGCACCACGGGAGTCATGTTGCAGAGCCCACGAGCAAGTCATGATGATGTCCCTCCACTCTCACCATTGCTACCTCCAATGCAGACTAATCAAATCCAAAGGAACTTCAGTGGGCTCACCGGCACAGATGCCCACGTGGCTGAAAGTATGCGCTGTCATTTGAATTTTGATCCTAACTCTGCTCCTGGGGTTGCACGAGTTTATGACTCAGTGCAGAGTAGTGGTCCCATGGTTGTGACAAGCCTTACTGAGGAGCTGAAAAAACTTGCAAAACAAGGATGGTACTGGGGACCAATCACACGCTGGGAGGCAGAAGGGAAGCTAGCAAATGTTCCAGATGGTTCTTTCCTTGTTCGGGATAGTTCTGATGACCGTTATCTTTTAAGCTTGAGCTTTCGCTCCCATGGCAAAACACTTCACACTAGAATTGAACACTCAAACGGTAGGTTTAGCTTTTATGAACAGCCAGATGTGGAAGGACATACGTCTATAGTTGATCTAATTGAGCATTCAATCAGGGACTCTGAAAATGGAGCTTTTTGTTATTCAAGGTCTCGGTTGCCTGGATCTGCGACATACCCCGTCAGACTGACCAATCCGGTGTCGCGGTTCATGCAGGTGCGCTCTCTGCAGTACCTGTGTCGGTTTGTCATACGTCAGTACACCAGAATAGACTTAATTCAGAAACTGCCTTTGCCAAACAAAATGAAGGATTATTTACAGGAGAAGCACTACTGAAAGATGATGAGAACCCTGCATCTTGCACTTTGGGAATAAGAAAAAGAGATTGAAATACAGTTTACAAACTTTAATTACTCTCAGTTCTTTTGCTGCCATACTATTTCAGTTTTATGTGTAAAAGAGTAATCAGTTTGTTTAGGGGTGGGGAAGTGTTGACAAGGTGTCTTGGGTTTATTTTGGTTCTTTAAAAAAAGAAGTCTTGAGGTTTTAGAAGTGTGCATTATCTTTCATCAGTGTGCAGAATAATCACAATGTGAATTATCAGATTCTCCTTAACCCCCCTTCCCAAGTCCTTTGCTGCTATCCACTGTGATTTTTATGCATTTAAAGCACATTTCATGTGTATTCAACCCTAAGTCAAGTTGAATGAAACTTATAGAGTGAAAATTGTTATGTCTCTTTAAATGGCCCATTTTTGAAGATAGTGTTGAGTAAACATACCCGTGTGATAAAACAGAATTTTCACATACACTGAAAATGATTTGTAATCTCATACTTAGAAAGATTTATTTAGAATTATGAATCGACATAATCTTGGGTAATGGAATGCAGATCTGCAACATATCTTTTACAACACTCATTTCTAAATTATTATTAAGGTTGTGCTGTTTTTTGGTTGTGTAAAGTTGAATTTTTCTGTTGCCTTCATTTTCATCTTGTGGTTTGTCTATTTTAATAAATGGCCTTACATTAAAAAATTGTAAAGAAATGTATACCATCAATTTAGAAATTGTTGCCTTTTCTGTCGTTAAGCTCTGGTACAAATTGGCATAACATATAAAGACCTATGGAACTAGAACTATTATTAAAGAAATACTAGATGATCATAGTTTCCTGTGATAGCAATTTTTTGTGTTATCTATCCTTTGGTAAAATGTTTTATCTGTGATTTCTTTAGCTTAGTCAATATTTTTTCTTGGGTAAACTTGATATAGAACTGATTTTCATAAATGGACTAGATTCTCTTGCAACATTAAAGTTTATATAAAGTTTTAATTTGATTTGAATAGAAAGACAACATGATTTTAAAGTCGGATTTATATTATTTTTATGTAGTCACTTTTGAGATGTGCTAGATTCGACCCTTCCTTCCCCTAGTAAAAAAACAAAAACCAAAAAAATAGAAAAACCCAATGATTTTAGTTGAAAAATTGTGGAAATTGTGGAGCACCGTGTCAGAAAAATATTAAAACCATATCATATATATGGAAGTCTTATTGCCTACCATATATATCGCCATTTAACAATAGGTTTTCTATTTGTTTCTTTTTAGTTTAGTGAAGTCCTTAAGTAAATTGGCATCATTAGTTATTTTCTCTCTTTGAGTCGGTCCTTGGGGGGAGTAACTAAATATGTTTTAGTTATTTTGAAATGCAGTATTTACTCACTGCGGGTCCTTTAGTGTAGTTTTGGGATTACCCCATCAGCTACGCAGCTTTAAAGGAAAATGTCTCCATCTCAGATGAAACATGTAATTTAAGACATTTCTTCCTTTGCAACTCAGTTTTCGTGTCTCTTACCCCCATTTAAAAATAACAGTCCAAGTCTTAGGTCAAACTTAATGGCTTTGACATGCAAACATATCAGTATCCCCATTTTTTTTCTCTATTTGTTTTTTAGGGTCAGAACGGAGAATACCAAGAAAAGGGACAATGCCATAATATCATGTTATGGTATTTTGACTTAAAGGGGAAAGGTACTTAATTTTGGTGGAGTGTTAATTGTACCTTGTCACAAAGACTCCTCTTTCATTTTCTGATATGTTTTCACCTACTAAGATGGGATATGGAGTATACTGTAATAATATAATTTAAGTGTTCACTATAAGCTATTTGGATTAAGAACTATTACAGAGTTGTAAACTTATCAAATTAATACAAGACATTTAAACTATTTTTTTGCAAAACTATTTATTTTTAAACAATTTAAAATATATCTAGGGTGAGTTAAAAGTCCCTGTGCATCTATATTAGATGGCAGGTATCATCGCAGAATCACTGTGTATTAATAATAAATGTTAAAATGGCTTCTCCGTGTTTCTAGAACCATTTACATGTACTCTTTGTGAGGTCATGGTGCACAGAGGTCTTTAGACTGCCCTGAACCCCGTCTTACCATGTTGGCAAAGCCTGTTCCCCACGTTTTCCTCATGATACCATGTGTTTAAGATCTAGCCATTTAGTTTCAAGTTAAGATTATTCTAATTTTCATCTAGATGTTTTTAAAATTGTATTTTGTGTTTTTATGGAGGGGCAAGTCTTGATACTGTTCAGAAAGCCAATTTTTTATGTGCTTTTGTATATTCGTAATATAGAATACTTTAAAGTAAAATGCGCTATTCTAATTCAATTTGGAATTGCTCAAGTCTGAGAGTGTGTTGATAATAATAAAAGTATTTACCAAGAAATTACAAACAGAGAGGAGTATTGCAGTATTTTCTCCTTTTGTGTAGAGAGCACCATTTGGCACAATAAATATCATGTGGAAGGTTGGCTTTATAGGAGGCTACAACAGTCTGGTTGAAAATGGAAAGGGGAAACAGAAATCTTCATCCTATAGTTTGGTTTAGGGACAATTTGGGTAAATTTCTGGATTCTATTGGCTAGTGGCTTAGATGACATGGACACAATGTGTGAGTGAGTTTTAAATATGTGCTTCTAAAAATCTGAGCTTGAGGCAAGAAAAAGAAAACAGGAAAGCTGTATCCTTTTGCCATAATAAATGAATCAGAGTTGATGTTTATCAAATTGTTTTATCACAAAACATGATGGAGGCCAGAAACTATTTCCAGGCTCGCTAGGACACTATTATGCATTTTTATAAATAATAAGAAAGCATAGAAAGTACTTGAAAAATGTGTCACTCTTTCTCTTTCAAAGGAAAACTGTTCTCTTTCTACTTGGTGCAATAATCTGAAAATTTAGAAGGTCAAAAATATATCACAGGAAATGATCATAGAACTAAAAATAGTTTTTAAGGAAACCAGCTACACAGGGCAACTATCGTGCTGTTGAAGAAAATCATGTGCCAAAAGGCTAAATCATTGGTGTTTAGGAAATAAAACATAAAGTATAGATTATAATTTCTGAGCCAGTATTATTGAAACAGGATAAAAGTTACTAAAATCTTAAATAGGTTATATGCAATGTCTCTGCTAGTGCTACAAGTCTAAATATCTTAACAATGCTTTCAGAAACGCCAATTTTAGTCATTGTACATTTCACATTGTATATGAGAGAGAATTGCTTTATGAATGATTCAAAATAATATTTTAAATCTTAATGGCTTTTCATCGAATTTGAAGTCTTAATTTGAAAATGAAATCACACTACCAGCAATAGACAAGTTGTTGAAAACTCTAATAAGGAACAGTGGCCAGTTCCATAAATAACTTTAAAATTCTAAAATAAAGTATTGGTACGCTAGTAATCACAAATTTGGTTTCTTTTAATACTTTTTTAATCCTATAAAGAAGGTTTTTTATAAGCATCCTTTTTATTAATCAGACATAACATGGCAAATGTGTAGTTGCTGTTTCTGAAAAGTAATCCAAACTCTACATCCAGAGATGATGAAAAATTCTTATAGAATTTTGTAATAAGTATACATGTTGGGTTAATGAAGTTTTATAGTCGTTGGAGTGCCATGAAATTAATACTTGCAATCCAAATTGCTGTAGTTTACACTTTTTCTGTATGTTTCAAATCAGGTGTGTACCATTTGTACTGAGAACACCACAGAATGAATTATCCAAAGTCCATTGATTTTAATACGTGTTTTGGTTTGTAAACAAATTATAGTAATTTCTTGCACATTTTTGGAAATTAATTGTATAAGAATTTATGTATCTGCTTCTAGATACGGTGTGTAAATAAAACTTTTCGTTCACAAGATCTGCCTTGTAGTCTATTTAATACCCAGCTGCAGAGTCTGGTTTTAATTAGTATGGGGTTAACTAGATAATTTCTGGATGTACCATATAAAGTAAGCAGAGACTGGAGGGTAGGAACCAGCAAATTTTAGTAAAAAGGGAAAAGTGAAATTGTGTCACTCATGGGAGACATGAAACTAGGAAGCAGCCAATGTTGCTAATATCCTGAAGCCTTCAACATAAAGGCTGGAGTGAGTTGGCAGAACATTTACTAAACAAAGGCTAATTAAAATTAACACAGTGATAAAACTTCACTAAAGGAAGGTTAGGCTGAATGATAAAATGTGTGGGTTGTGACATTTTAAAAAACATGTCACTTATTACTTAATAGTATTATGTAGAAATAGAACCAGGTTATCAAAGTGCATTGTATAGAAGTCATTTAGAAATCCTTTCATAGATAAGAATGATTTCTCATATCCACTGAATCTAATTATATGCTTTTAAAGTTCTGAAACACCACATTGGGTTAAACGTTCACTTTAAAATTTTATTGTTCTATTTTTAACAAGTCCTTTTTTTTTATCCTAGCTAATTCAAAGAAATTTTAAAATGACCTTGTTCAGAACATATTACAAATTTTGACTTTCGTGGAATCCAAATAATGTGACATTCTAACCACATTTTGCAGAGCTGATATCAATTGACAGCATTGACTTTAATATCATACATAATCTGCTGATGGTAGTGCTAATGAAATATGAGATTCGGGCAAGAGGATGGTCGGGCCTCAAGAAGTTTGTGAAAGGCTAGACTTTACAAACTTGCACCATAGCCAGATAAACAGCTTTTTATTCTCATCTAACCCTTCCCTAGGGTCATTCATTCAACGACATGAAGCAAGGGAGAGCGTGCTGAGGCCGGGCTGGGTTCTCTGTGGATGCTTGTGGTTCGAAAAGCCCAGCGCTGAGGAGGGAGGGGGTTCAAGTACACACATGCTGTCTGTGAATCAGATTAAGGACTTGCTGCCACAATAGGAGATAATTGATTGAGAAAGTTGAGTCAACCTCAGAACTTCCATAATTTACCATTATGCTGACCATAGCCAATTTCTTTTACTCCCTGCCACCCCACCTTTCAATTCTTGACTTTTTTTTAACTTTGCAGGTTTTACTTATGCTTTATGCTAGGCTTTCAACTTTCTGAATCAAAAAAATATTTTAACCTTCACTTGAATTTGGTTCTTATTGTCTGCTATTTTAACTTCCAATCTAGTTTTTTTTTTCTTTCAAATCTTTAGCTTCATTTAAACGTCATTATTTAAAAAAACTTTCCTTTGGGGGCCGGCCTGGTGGTGTAGTGGTTGGGTTCGCATGCTCTGCTTCAGGGGCCTGTGGTTCGCAGGTTCGAATCTTGGGTGCAGACTGATGCACCATTCGTCAAACCATGTTGTGGTGGCGTCCCACATACAAAATGGAGGGAGATGGGCACAGATGTTAGCTCAGGGCCAATCTTCCTCAGCAAAAATGGGAGGATTGGCAAGAGATGTTAGCTCAGGGCCAGTCTTCCTCACTTAACCAAAAAAAAAAAAATTTAATTCTTTCAGCTTTTTCATATGCCAATTCGCAGTGTTAAGGGTTTTCTAACTTTCTGAAACATCTTTTTAAGAAATTTAATCTGTTTTCTTCCCCTTTTTGCATGACTTGTCTTGCTAATGGATGTTTTTGCACCAACTGCTTTATTCCCGCTTCCTCGTCCGTCCCCCTTCTCCAACCCCTTCCCCAGAGTCCGTGACCCGCTGGTATTGCCAGGTCTGAGCTGGCTAAGAACCTAGTAGGAGTGAGCGTTGCATGAGCATCCATTTCTGAGCACAGCTGACTTTGAGCTAGACTCCTGGAGTTACTTTTGTCTTAAGCTGCATTTTCCCTACTTAATACCCAGGCAGCCTCACCACCTCTTCTGGAAGAGTCAAGGGAGGGTCCTCTTGGGAGAGGCTCCCTCAGATTGTAAAAGCCAAGGAGAGGCGGGCTAGAGTACGGATTATTTCTACAGGGTTGATGAACAAGGCCAGTTGCTTTGCCTAGAGGTCATTTTGGGTCGTCAAATACTGTTCTTGGTAACTAGCTTGCAAATAAGAGTAAATTTTAAATTGGAAAGGAAACTTACTTTTTGATCATGAGACACAGAGTTCCCCATACCAAGAAAATTTTAGGAAGGCACCGATGTATGTAGGAGGCTGACTTTTTCTAGTCTCTAACTTGGTTCTGTGGGTCTGATAGTCACTAGGACTTGGTTCCACCAGCCTAGGTCACACATGAATTAAATATATGGAATTTCATCCTAGAATCCTATTAAAGAGAACCTCTCTTCCCTTGTGTAAATAGTCTGCCCTCTGGCCCTCCCCACTCCTAGCAGTTTTAAGAGGTGGCATCTCTGACCCTCTCCATTGAGAACTGTCGCTCTGAGGCCACCTGTTCACCTAATGCCTTTGCCACAGCCCATTTGTCTCTCCTCAGTGTAGTCCTTGACAATCTTGTTTTCCTGTGGCTGCAAGTGGTGAGCACTACTGGGCCCAGAAAATTACCAACCTAATAGTGGCTGTGGGGTGTGACGATTGCCTAGAAAACCAATAGATGTGTATTTTTAAACACAGAGGAATCCATTGCTCTGCAATAAATGGGTTCTCCTGGAATCTAGTTAGTGGAATCAGCAGATGAAACTAGAGAGCTGGATTTTACACCATCTCTTAAAAATAAAAGCCAACAAATTGTGCTAATATATATACTGCTTGTACCTAACATACATATTTCACATCCTCAGAACAGCCCTATACAAGGCAGGCACCTTATCATCCTAAAAAAGTAAACTGAGGCACAGAGGTGAACCTCCCTAAGATCACGAAGATAGTAAGTGACAGAACCAGGTTAAAAACTCATGCAGTCTGGTTTCAAAATCCACGTTCTCATCCAATATTATATACTTTCTCTATTCAGGTTTTCTATTATTTGGAGTATTTATTTCCGTGATTGTCAGGGGAAAGATCTTCAGCATAAGCAAATGAATTACGTACTACTTTCCCCTCTATGGGGCTACTCTGTAGCTTAAACAAGATATTCTATCGAAGCAATGACAGCAACCATTGATGGAAGCCTGAATGGTGGCATGTCTGATGGGCTTCATCTTCTACTGCTGAGGAAGGGGAACACTGCTTTCCTTGTATGGCCTTGCAAAGGTTCACTTAAAAGAAAATTGCCTAATATACTACTATAGGAACAAGACTTAGTGGAGTTGAACTGTAACTCTTGGGAGGACTTCTCCACATGTTTGGTGCATAAGGAAAAGTGTGAATTCTGCTTTTTGCTAGTGTACCTGATGAGATTGCCTGAGGCATTCGTTGTGCCCTGTTTTACTAAGAAGCATGGTTTTATGCTATATAGCAGACAAAAGTTACCACCCTTTCTCTTTCCTTTCCTCTACCCATGCTCAGCCAATTCTCTTCCACCTCCTGTCATTGTTTAGTGAGCACACTCTGAGCAAATACTTCCTTCTGGAAGCAGTTCTAGTCACACTGACACTCTGTATTCTGGCTTCTCTGCCTGCATGTAAATGGGTAGAAAAATTAATCACCTATGTTCATATGGTAATTGTTATAATAAATCCAAGTGAAATTCCCCTCCCCTCTTCTGTTCTGGGAAATGGCCATTTGTATTATACCTAGCTCAGTATCATTAAAACAGAAATCTTTTTGCTGTGAACTTGGAATAGTTGTCCTAAACCCTATCAGCACATAGGATTAGCCTGGAAAGTTTAGAGAATTGAGACAAGTGAAACTGAAAGTGGTTAAATCTTATTTAAAACACATTTTAATGTTTCTCATAGTGCACATCTGAGGACAATGAATTCTCTCACCTTTTGTTTAGCTGAAATGTCTTTATTTTACCCTTTTTTTGAAGGATATTTTCACTGGATATAGAATTCTGGGTTGACTTTTTCTTTTCCTCTTTAAGCACTTTAAAAATATTTCATTGTTTTCTGGATCCTGTTGTTGCTGATGGGAAATTAGCTGTCATTAGTATTATTGTTCCTCTGTAAATTATGTATAATCCTCTCACCCCCAGCAACCTTTAAGATTTTTCTCTTTACCTTTATTAACTTTTATTTTATATTTTAATTTTTCTCTATATCTTCATTTTTCTGTAATCTCTGATTAAAATATGCTGAGATGTGGGTCTCTTTGTATTTGTCCTGTTTGGGATTTATTGTGCTTCTTGGATCTAGAAGTCATGTTTTTCACCAACTTTAGGAAATTTTTGGTTATTATTTCTTTAAATGCTTTTTCTATCCCTTTCTTGCTCTCTTTTCCCTGTAGGATTCCAATTTCATTCTAGAAATTATGTTAGACTGATTTTTTCCTAAATATCATTGAGGCTCTTTATTTTTTCAACCATCTTTCAGCTCTTCAGATTGTATAATTTCTATTGATCTAGCTTCAAGTAAACTAATCCTCACATCTGCAGTCTCCAGTTTGTGGTTAAGCCTATCTAGTAAATTTTTAACTGCAGATATTGTACTCTTATTCTAGAGAGTTTCCATTTGGTTCTATTTGGTAGTTTCCATTTTTTAGGTGAGATTTTCCATCTGGGTTCACTCCTATTGTTTGTTTTTGCCTGGTTTGTGGTCCTATGGCTCTGGTTTTTTTAAAGCACTACCGATAATTTTTGATTAGATGCTGAACATTGTAGATGTAAAATTTTAGAAACTCTGGACTTCTATTACCCTGCTCCAAAGAGGACTAAGTTTTCTTCTGGAAGTCAGCTAGAAAATTGGCAGATCATCTTGATTCTTTTGAAACTTCATTGTGAGCATTGTTAAGTCTGGTCTATTTAAGTGTTTCTTTTATGACATAGCCATTGCTCCTGGGGTATGGCCACTCTGGGGTCTAAATTTCAAGCTCCAGTGTTCATCAAGACCACTCCACCTGAACTCCAACCTCTGTGTCCTCAGAACTTCTCAGCTGCAAAA